TACACATATACACACACACACACACACCCATATATATAAGATGGAGGTATAGCCTTGCCCTCCAACAAGTCACTGAAATTGCTTCTTTGGAAGGCTCTTATTTCCAAGTCATTGTATAGATTTACATAGCTCTCTGCTAAGTGGAGGGATGTGGGATTATAAATCCAGAAGCAAGAGTTCAAGCTGTGACGTAAAAGCCATTATCCCTTCAACCCAGCTATAAAATGGGCACGTAGACTGGGATGTCATTGTTAGACGGAACGGTTAGCACCAGAAACTGGTGTACCTTAACCACACTAGCCCAATATGTAGCTTACATCCGTCCTTTTTTTCTTCTGAATGCCTGAGTGGACCATTTCAAGTTCCACATCATTGGGTATTGGCTCAATGATGCTTAATTTAGGGTCCATATAACTTACCAAACTATTTTCCCCTAATTTTGTCCTCTGTTTGCAAGATCCTTGGTCTGCCTGTTGACTGTATTTCACTTGGCTGCTTGTAAGAAAAGAAACCAATAAAAGGAAAACAACAAAGATTGCAGGAAGCAACTTAAATATATTTTGGGAAGACTTCAGAAATCTTTTATTTTTATCTTGGCCTTTGCAAGACACACAACTTATGATAATGCATGAAGATGACATTTCAACCACACTACAGGGAAACAGTCTACAAAGGGAAATTATTCTGTGGACATTTAAGTAAATGAATCTTAAACTAAAGGGCTCAAATCAAGGGCAGCTGGTCCAGATTTTAGAATTCAATGAAGCAGAATGGTTTTGCTTGTGTTTTGATTCCCTTTATTGTAACGCAATTAAACAGGCCAGAGGAGAGGAAGGGGAATTTTCAGATGCAAATGATCATTGCCTCTGAAAATCTCGTTTGCCCTGTTTCTCCTCAGTGGAGGTGGTTTTTCTTCTGGGTGATAAATCCCTCAATCCCACTCCAGATCTGTGCAAGGTCTGCTTATCAGTCCAATCTCCTGTCCCTGATCTGCCTGCCTATGTTCTAAGCAGAGAGTCAGAATTTCACTCTGGGTTGTTGGTTGTAGCCGTGTTGGTCTAAGGACACAGGCAAGCAAGGTTCTTTGGGTAAATCCAATATCTTTTATTAAACCAACTGTGTTACTTAGGCAAAATCCCTGCTGAGAGCAATTTTCCTGTGGCTAGTGTCCCCTGCTGGTTGCATAGTGAAATATCTTTTATCACGGAGCTCACAAAGTAGGTGAGTTATCAGAGACAGGGAGCTCATCCCATAGTCCTATAGCAGGGTACTGAAGGCCTAATGCAGGAGAGAATGCAGTTTGATGGGCCTTTAACTACAGATTTCAGGTTAGGCACAAGCTTATGTGCTTTGCTGAATCAGGGCCAGAAGCAGCATTTGCTTCAAGGTGCATGTAAGGGGAGTCTTTCCTATGAGTTCAATGGAGAAAGCCCTAAAGCAGTGTGGGCCAACCTTTCTGACAAGTGTGGCACAAGATAAACCCTGCAAGCTCCCTGCATGCCATTCTGATCCCCTTCCCCTGCCTGATCTGTTGCTCTGCTTTCTGCTCCCTGCTCCTCAACCATGTGCAACACACAGAGGCTGCCTGTGCCACTTGTGGACTTGGCCACCCCTGTCAGAAAGGAATAAGTAACTGCAGCCAAGAGGAACAAGAAACTTAAAAGAGCCAGTAGCAACAGCAGCTGAGATGCTACTGAATTGCCTTTTGGAGGTCCATGTTTCCAGCTGTACAAATAGACCTGATCTCTGCTCCTGCCCTTACTGTGCTAGGCCATGTTACAAAACCCAGGGCTTCATCCAAGGATAAAGCTCGGCATCTCGTGGTTTGGAAACTACACCTATCAGCCAAGGAGCTGGGTGGTGAGGTGGAAGTCCTATATTGAAGTCCCATACAATGTTCTGCCTTCAGACTGACCCTAAAGACTACAGTTCCTTTCCTTGAGAGATGCCAAAGCACTTTACAGCACTGAAAAGCCAGTTTCCATTAAAAGGCAGGTTTTGGCCCTATCACCAATATCTACCTATGGTGTTTATTAGCCTCAAAATTGGCAGGATAGAGGCTGGGCTGATGCAAGACTATTCCATCCTAATGGGATGTGAATTGGAAAAGGGGTCCCCAATTTATGACATTCTGCTCCACAATGGTCTCTTGTAACCAGAGATGTCAATATAACATTGAGCCCTACAGGGTTGACAACTGGGGACCAGATCAGCTTGTG